CATCTGCCTATTATTGAATATATCTGCATTTATAAACTATTAATTTTCTTTTATTATTATTATTATTATTATTATTGAGAACGATTTTATTTTTTAACGAAGGTTAAAGGACCTTGAAATCCTTCAAGTCCTTATTATTAACGGCCATTGTGTACGCGATATTTATACTAGTCAGAATTACTCTAATAAAGAGTCAACACTCGAAATTTGAAGGGCATGAGTTGTGTATACAATAATAGTTTGTTCTCTGTTTAATAGCCTCTCATGTGTGCGTCCATTATTATATTACATATAAAATTTCTAGTTTTTATGCACATGTATTGGTTCTAGGTATAATTTGTAATTTTAAAAAAATAAATATCTTAATAATTAATATCTTTTATTTCTAAAATGTATTATATATTTATATATATTTATAATTTACTCGTATGTATCAAAACATATACTTTATAAAATGTATACACATTATTTAACTTTTAATTCTCAATATTTATAAATGTTCTAAAATAATTCTCTGCAAAATATATAATACTGTAAATACAACTTCCATTTAAAAATGTTCTGTTTTGTTATTCTTAAAGTATACCTAGAAAATGTTTTAAAAAAATTATCGTAGAAGGTTAATTTTTCAACTATTTGTTTATAATATTTTATTATAAGAAGTTGTCTTTGTACATAAAATGAAAAATTATAGACTTCATTGTGTAGGGTTCGTATTATATATGGTTTTTTTTAAACAAAAACCTATCTATATATACGATGCATATATATATATATATATATATATATATCTGTGTATCGTATATAAAAGTTGCCTATCATTTCATTATAAAGTCGGTACTTTTTGATGTATTTTTTGTTTGTTGCGATAACTTTTTAAAATGTAAGCGTGACATAAAATGTGATTATTTAGTATAATTTTTGAACTCATACAAATTTATCATATGATTTATTGAAAAAATAAGATGGTGTTGTACATTTTTTGAATACTTTGTTAAGCCCTCCACCACTATATTAAAAAACACGTTAATAATATAACAACTTGGCCATAAAGCGGACTTTTGTTAGCGTAGTAGGTGGGGCCGGCACGATGACTCTTCGAAGGTTACATTATGACGACACAACCCAGGTTATAATTACTTACGCTTTACAGTACGGTTCTTATTCAAGGTTTTCAAGTGGAATGAAATAAAAATTTTATTTTATATTTATTGTATACGAGACGGTAAAACAAAAACGCTTAGTAAATTGTACATCAAAACCCGTGGGCTTATCTTTTTAACATCCCTTATGTCATTTATTCGCTTGTACGTGGAGGTCGCATAAAAGGTCAACGGATTTTCCTATTTCTTACCAATTCGAAGTCAATTTTTTTTTTTTACTTTTCTTTATTTATGACCTGAAAAAGAAGCGTTTACGTTTAGTGTTTTCTTATCAAAACTAACACATGTAAATGTGTCCTACCTAATTATCTTGTATCTCGTGTAGAACGGGTCGAATAGCAGATTACGTGTGACTTTCTCGTGGATCGTAGTCTGTGTGAGTGCCATGTATTGTAGTCAACGCGTCAAACTCGCAAAATTAAGGCTATTTGAAAAGGTTCGGATGTATTAATTATTATTTATATTATCACAGTAAATGTTCTTTATTATTATACACAGTTAATGATAGTCGTGCAAAGTTCAAAAGCAGATTTAAAAACTTCTTTTCGCTTGCGATTAATGTAATTCCTAAAAATATAATTTCGATTTAATATATACTCGACTTTTCTTTATTGCCAATCTTGTTTGTATTGATTAATATTCGTTCTACCAGTTTCATTCTAGCTATTTTTATCGAATAGTATTATTATTTATTATGATTTTCCAAGTTTATCCATAATATATTTATATACTAATGAATACATTTGCATTGATAATTTTAAAATATATTACCTACAATAACTATAGGTTGTATGAAGTTCCAAGTACGGTATGAATTGCTTCATTGCTTCCTTGTTGTGTGTTTCAATTATTTTTTTTTACTTTAGTACTTTCACCCACTCAAAATAAATAGCCTATTTCTACTTTCAGTAAGGCTGAATGCTTATAATTTCAAGGGTATAACAAAGAAACAATTATCTACAATAATTAAAACTTTTCTAATTGATGACATTTCTTTATTATATTAGTAAACGTTTGTTTAATTATTGTATAAAATGTAATTTTAATTTTAATTTGGATTTCTGTATCAATGTTTATGATTAACTACATATTATTTGTTACAATATATTTCATACAAAAACTTGTTTTATATTTTAAAAATATATAAATTAAATAGTAAGGAATTTTTTTTAAAATCTATGTGTGAATCCGTACCGTTAGTATATTATATTTTAAAATGACATAAATTTAAAAATGAAAACACATTTCTCGCAAGAAATTATAGTTATGCATTTTTTAAAATATGAGTTAATAAACTTTGTTAAATTTCTCAACAAACTACTTCAAAAAATGTTTATAACATTTATTTTGTTTTTTACCGAAGGTGACTTTTCCTCTCCGGCTACCATAAAAAAATGATTCAAATTTTTTTTCATATCATTTGCATCAATTCTAGATACAAAAATAAATACAAAAGTATATTATGTATATATATTTTGTTTCATATAAATTGAATATTTGATTTTTGTATTTTTCAACAGGTTTTAGTAGTTCAGTCAAATGGTTGCTTGTTAAAAAAATACATCACGCGAGTAGAATAATTGGTACCGTATTAATCATGAATTTGATTATGAAATGTATATTTACTCGTATATTTGTAATGGGTTTTAATAAACAGGCGTTCAATTTTGTTCGAAGTTGTATTCGTAAAGAGTTTTTATGGGATTTGTATATACAATTTCAAACAATTTAAAACAATGAACTAGTGAATTAATTATTTAAAAAAATAGTTAAAACATAAAAATTAATTGTTTGATTATTTCAGCGGATTTTTTTTTTTTTTAAATGCAGTGTTAAACGTATTATTATACTAAATGTTTTTATAAATTCCATGTATTAAAGCAAAATACATAAAATGTTTAAATTTTTAATTAATCCTTTTGTTTGGAATAAATTCCACTAATTCTACTTATATATATATATATATATATATATGGTATATGATATATGGTTCCTATACCATCTATACTTTATAAATTATTACTATGATTATTTATTTATTTATTTTTTAATATATCAAACCACGATTTTTAGTTCTTACACTTGAATATAAATTCTAACTAAATAATTTATAAAATAAATTTGACATATAATAATTTAAATTGAATGGTTCATATTATAAAATGTTATTCAAATTATTTTATCAGTGAATATGATGTACTAAAGCACTCAAACTATTATTATGTATATGAAATTTAATTTTAGTGTTTTGATTGACGTACGCTTATGGTTTCCGTTCTTAGTTTTCGCTAACTACTTTGAAAATCTCATTCAATTTAAATATAGTAGATGCATTTATGTTCAAAACTTTTAGAGTAGTTTCTATATATATTCGGTTACACGATTTTATTAGTAGGTAGATCAAACACTCTTTGGCATACTAAAGTAGTGGTGTGTAACTATTGTAGGTAACATTTATTAGTAATGAATATATATAATATATATGAATATACGAATTATATAGTTCACATTTTAAATTTTATAGTCCATTTTAACTTTACTGCTGTACATCTACAGATTTTTTTTGTAAATACTTACCAATTCTACAGTTACCAATATTACATTTTAATATTTAAAATTATTTGTATGTGAGAAGTGTTATTATTTTAAAAATTAATTAATAGATATAGTATGATATTCGGTTTTTTTCCGTTCAAAATTTCTCTTCAATTTGCAATTTTAATTATTTTTTTTAAAACATTTACATTATACAATCTAATAACTTTTTATGATAAAAAAAAAACATCAATAATAACTGACAGACGTTTTCTTTCTTCGTACATACTAATGGTATTCTGATAGTAAAAATACTTCTGGACGTCTGCCGAACTCAAGTTTAAACCTTTCAACAAGAATAAAATGTAATCGATTTTAAGATCTTCTCTTAGTGATAAATTATTTTTGTTTGGTCGCTATTTAAGCTGTTGTTTTTGGCTTCTTCTGTCAGTCAGTTGGGCTTTATTTGTCGATCATGCTTTTTTTACCTACTTTGGTTATTATACATTACCATTTAATTTTGACCTACTTCTTAATACTATTGAATTAATTTCCGTGAAATAGAATGCAAAATATAATTAACTTACTTAATATTATACATTTTGAATGGAAATATTTATTTAATCATGTAAAAATTATAATATACACAAGTTAAAATTTTATTCTGAAATTTTAATAATTACATTTTGTATATTGAAAATATTCTATAATAGTTAAGCTCATTTTAGATTCTGAATAAAACGAAAAATATATTTAATGTTAATAGCATTTATGCCTAAAATTCTTAAAATTAATTTTCATGTTCTATTTATTGCAATCTAATATTTTATTTTAACAAATTTAAATAATAAAAAAAATATAATATTATAATGCTGTATTTATTTTTAAAGGTTATAAATAGTTGTTTTTTATATTTGCAATATTAAATATGTAGGAATATTGTATTATTGTATTATGTTTGTGATAACAATAGTCACTAAAATGCCTTTGATATTATTGTATTGTCATGATATTATTACTGTATCAATAAATGTATACTATTAACTGTTAAATAGTGATGACTAATGCATTTCAAAGGTTAGAAGTATTAAAAATTATATCTAAAAGGGGTTATCTTGCTCTGGTGATTGACAATAAATCGATAAAATATTTCGAATAAAAATAAATTTGAATAGGTAGTTCTTCAAAAATTCAAATGCATCTTTAATATTTTATAAAGTTTTCGTCTAATTTTGTTTAAATAATTGTATTTTATAACAAACATGCATAGTGTTAGTTTATATTAATTATATATTTTTTCAGATCTTCGTTGTACGATCTCAAGTCAAGTTCCGTATACACTGCAAGCATTTTGGGGTGTTTCTATTCGAGAGCTTCACCATTTCCTTTGGAAGACTTGGAGCTCATTTCAGACAGCTGTCAATGATGACTCATTACTTAGTGGACACTACCAACACTGCGGATTGACTTTACAGTATCCTTTGATTTATTCAAAATCAGTATTTATCTTTCAAATATACTTGAATGGGTGGAAATTTATTTTTCATAAATACTGTCCATTAAATAAATTATTTCTCTTTGTAGAAATGTTAATATTTATTAAAACTCCTTAACTTGTATGCACTTCAGCGAAACAAGCCATACGGAAAAAACCATCCAGATGTTTATGCCAGAGGGCAAGTTGGATTTAGGTACGCCGCCTCGGCACTGTTACCCATTGGTTATATTTCTCATAAGAGACATACCCGAAAACTCTACTTTACATCCAGATGAGACGGTAAATGTATAATTTAATTTAATTTATTTTTGTAAACACTTACTTAAATAATTATATTTTTAAATTATAGCACCTTAATTTATTTTTAAAAATACTTACATTAAAGCTGTTAATTCGCGTATAAAATTAAAGATTTTGAGTTTTTATGTTAAATTTTTATTTATGATATTTATTTATTGTTATAATTATTTTCTGTGTTTATAATATAGGTTGCATTAGTGAATGTCGTACACATACAGGATAACGTATGCACGTTGCCCACCAATATTTTGGCGCAATATCTTAAACAAGCAAATGGACAACTGTCGTCATTAAAGGTTAGTAAGCGTATACATTTCATAATATTATTATAAGCACAAATTACAGTGAAATTATCGTTACCTTCAATAAAAGCTCCAATATCTTAAATGCTTGTTTATATAATTTTAAATTATCTATTACATTTTTAATATATTTGTTATGTATTGTTTAATAATAATAATCGACTATTTCATTATTTGAAATATTCTATATCGGGCGCGCCAACTTTACTTCTCAACTTTAATGAAGTTAATATCTAATTTTGTGGAAAGTAGGTGGGGATAGTCGAGTGGTTGGTATTTATTTTTGTATATGACTATACAGGACAATTTCGTTTAATACCAAACGTATGGTTTCCGTATATACTTCATTACAATTTTTTATTGTCATTTTTGACTAATTGTGTACAAGGCATTCTTTTGAAAGTAAATTAGTTTAAAGTTATTATTGTTTGATAGGTGGGTGATAATTACTTTTAGGTAATGTGAATATCATACTACTTTTGATACACTTTGGCGCACTTATTTATAAATAATAATAATAATAATAATAATAATAATAATTTATAGTATAGATAAGACAAAAAATTGGTATTGGGGTTATGATCTGTAGTTAGTAACCTCATGCGTTTTGTGTACCTGGATAACGCATGAACTACAGTATATTGAGAATGTCAATTATAAAAGAAAAGTTGTAGCTTTATAGGTATGTAATAGGATTTCGATTTTCCTTCGTCTCAAAATACATTAGTTTCTCTAATTTTTCTAGTAGATAATGAATTTGCATTTGAGCCAACAATCTACGATAGTGACGTGTTCTTTAATGATTAACATTATTCTTTATTACAAGGACTCGGAAGTTATAATACTAATAAAATAAAATGTTAGCGCTTTAATATGCACTAAAAAAACATCAAAATAAGCGGTATAAAAACAAATTAAAATTGAAAAATATGCAAATTGCAATTTTATAAAAAGTATTTTTAATTTTTCTTAATTTTTTTAAAATTCTACAAGTTTTATATAAAATATGGTGGTAAGTATTTGGGGATTAAATAATTTGTATTATTCTGAAACATTTCCAGTAAATATAAATATGTAAAATAATTTAAATATTATTGCATAATAATATAATGTATTCTTTATTATTTTTTAATTTTCCTTTGTTCGCACATTACAGAAATATATAATGTATTCATTTTAAATTAATTTATTTTTATATACATTAAAATCACACAGAAAAATCAAATGTTTTCTTATATTTTTAAATTTGAATAATTTACGATTATTTAAAAGTTAAGTTTTGTAAATCGATAACGACTGCTCATCATTGACGGCCATCACAGGTATGTACGTAAAAAATGTCAAATCTTTACAACTTAAATCTTAAGGAAGATCATCTAAATTCCGGATGTTTCTTCACCAGATAGAACTTTTGATATCTTTATTAACGCCAAGAGACCTCGATTTTTTTCCTGTACTTTATTGAATTTATTTCGAGCAATTTTTCCATTTGGATTATATACGAGTAGTGTTTCAAATTAATTTTGAATACCTTCAACTTCTTATTTTAATTTAATTTGATAATGACATTTTGCTGTTGTCGTTTTTTAATAGCAAAGTTAATTTGTTAAAGTTTGACTTAATATACGTTATTTTCTAATCCTGGTTTTATAGTTTTTAGCACCTTTAATACAAACTGCATAGTTTCTATCCAGCATGAAAATACGATGTATTATTCCGAAATTCTCATAATAATAAATTGTCACGTTAATCCAAATTCCCCAACAAGTGAGAATTGACACTGGAGGTAAGGTTAGGTTTGACACTTTTAAATATAAGTAAACGAATTGGGGCTTTTATTAAAAATTTTTTACATTCGAAATAACTCTATCTCCTGAAATTGACTTATTATTTCTTCTGTGACCCTATGCTGCCCACGTACAACACATGTTAAGTGATATATTTTAAATTACCTTTTTAAATTTTTCAATAACTATTGTTTTCGATTTATTTGATATTCGTATCGGGCGAGATTTTTAATATAATTGTTACTTTTTAAATGTTGTATTACGTTAATTTTTTTTTTTTTTTAATCAACTTTTATTTCATACATTTTATAAAAATAATAATTCCATTGAAAAATATTGGAACCAAATTCATAAACATTAACTTGGAGCCAGGAACTAAAGTTGTGTGCAGTACGACATACTTAGTGTAATACGAAATGTTAAGTGTGTAGTACGAAATTAAAAGTTATATAGATAATAATAACCACAGCAGGTTCTATTATCTATATTATGGTATTTGTCTTTAATTATACATTTTTTTATTAAATTAATTTTACATATTTTTAAAATAAAAAAATGTATTATCAGCAAAATCTAAAAGACTAACTATTTTAACTTTGTTTTTCATTACTGTTAACGTTTGAAAGGGGATTATGACAAAATCCTGAAGTGTGCAGTACGAAAAAGTATAAAATTTAACCTTTACTTGGAGCCTTCATTTGATAAACTTTTTTAATTTTAATAATTTTTAAGTCAATATAAAAACAAAAGAGTATAACCGTATAGCTTAGTTTACCTACTATTTGACAATCAATCGCATACGCAATACATCTATATAGCGGCAGAAAACTAAAATAAAATTATTGTTTTAAGTAATTCAACTACAAAATAGATTAAATTTATAAATTTAAATAATAATTTATATAACTTGTAAAGTTACAATGGAATGAAATAATTATAATTATCATTCGCAATGGACTTTGTCGTAATTTACATGGCGTTTTGATTCTTATGAGGGTCGCCAACTTACAGGGCGAGTTTGTCAGGTCGGACCACTGTAGGATTTAGTTATAAAAAAAACTATAAAAATAATAATATAAATAATAATAATAATCTGGCTTGCACAACTAATAAAACAAACATATGTTATCAGCCCCGGAGGACTAAAGAAACTTGGGTCCGGCTCGGCTAACGTTATTAAAATAAAATTTACATTTTTATTGTGTGCATGATTAACAGGAATAAATGTACCACATAGTCACACATCAACAGAGGTAATTATGATATATGCCTCGTAGCGTGCATCAAATATAATCATTATCAATAAACATATATATATTATACACACCTTCGACTCAAACAATCAAATTTAAATACAAATATAAATATACTTCAAAATCGCATATAAATACGACCAAATTAATAAAATTTAAATAAAATAAGAAAATAAAAATTTGGTAACATTTTGTCACGGTACAAACTATAAATTTAATCTATTTTGTGATTCAACGATAACGCTTCCAACGAAAATATGATAATAATACGATAATTGTAGTACGACAGTCATGATTTTAAAAATAACCAGATTATTGGAAAAAAAAAGAATCGTCCGATATGATCGACGATAACCAACGATTAATATGCACTATTTTAAAATTAAAATACATTTTAATTTTCGTTGAAATTTTCGTATTCGTATGTTGTTTGACCCAAAATCTTTTTTTTCTTTTTTTTTTATACAATTTTTTTTATTATCTTATACACTTGTATTTAAAAATATACTTTTAAATAGCACTTACAACTCTAAATTAGCAAAATAGCATTAAAAATTTGATATTATGCAAAAATTATCAAAATAAAATGTCGTATACAACATTCATTATACATACAAATCCATTCACTGTACCTTTTCCCTTCGTCACGGAATATACCCAACACTCTACCACAAAAACCAGCCACTTCCTCCTGCCCAATGTGTACGCTACCTCGGTATCCTAATAGATCGTAGACTTACTTGGCAAACACACATAGCAAACAAAACCAAATTCTTGAATGACCGTTTCCGACTTCTTTGACCACTTCTAACTTCCAAGCTCATGAAACTCCCCAACAAACCATTGCTGTACAAACTCCTTCAAAGACCTATTTGGATATATGGAAATTTACTTTGGGGCGCTGCCAAAATATCCAGTATCAATTGTATCCAAAGATTCCAATCCAAAGCCCTACGTACTTTTACTAAAGCTCCATTTTATGTCACCAACTACACTCTACACTTTAATCTTAATATATTATAAGTTTCTGAAATAATAAAAAAATCACTACAAAGTTTTAAAACCCGTCTAGTTAATTATAAAAATACTCTAATCTCCGAATTATCATCTGCCACCAAAAAAAAAAAAAAACTTAAAAGGCAATGGGTGTCTTGACCTGCTAACCTAATTTCATGTCGTAGTATCTCCAATGGGTACCCAACAATTGTTCTTATTGTTCTATATTGTAACAGATTGAATACAAATAAAACTATCTGACCTATCTGTCAATATTTTTTATCTTATCCATCAATTGTTCTTATTTTTCTATATTGTAACAGATTGAAAAAAAAACTTTGAATGTTTTAAAACATTCTAAAAAATAAATGTATTCCTTAAAACTTTCAAACCCTACTTATAGGTTAATTTGAACCAAAATTTGCCATCATTAAAAACAGTCGACATCCTGTAACGGTTTCAATTCATAAACAAATTAAAGAATTTCTTTACTATAGAGACAGTTTCTCTGTAAAATTCTATACGCAATAATAATTAAATCGTTTTGGAATTAGGGATGAGTAGAGTACAACCATAGACCTTATACTCATTATTAGGTATAGACCATAATAATCATATTACGAGTTATAATATATTAGTTATTATATTAATAATTATATTACTGAGTATAAGTTCTATGAGTACAACACATATATTTATTAGCGGATGAGTGCGTATCGATTTTAAAAGTTGCCATAGATCGCGTATCTACATCAGATGTACCGTATTGATTCGCTCGAAGAAAAAATTAAGGCAAAAAAGATGGGTACCGATACAGAAACTAGTAATCGTTAGCCTATATACAATCATCGTTTATTGCCTAAAATGTACCTAAAAACGTCTATAGTATAATAATACGTAGCGAAGATTTTTCTGCAGATTGCACGTGTAAACTTAAGTGTACCCGTATATTATAAATATAGATATATAATATTTTTTTTTAAATAATATTTATTTATACATTCTATTTCGTTATAATTAAAACGCCACTGTTTTTTTGTTTTTCTTCTTCTCGCAGCAACTGTATTTGGCCACCGGTAACGCACTCGGTTATCAAGACGATGCTTGTGATGACGCATCGCAGAGGGCCGTCGTTCTAGACAACAACAACAGTAGCAGCAGCTTAAACGCAGGCCAGGAACAGTTGTGCGTCGTGTGCCAGTATTACCCGTTGTCCAGAGCCCTTTTGCCGTGCCGTCATACGTGCATATGCGCCACATGTTTCGGTAAACTGGAGACGTGCCCGATGTGTCGTAGTCCTATCAAGAGCTACTTTTGCGTGCGCACTGAGGATTATTTGGCCGATTGCGCGCTGGGTTTGGAGAAAACGGGCGCGTCGGCAAAACGGCAGGCGTTCTCCCAGTGGATTCAAGACAGTATTACAGACTTTCTCGGCCTACATTAGGCCTCCCAATCTCTCTCAGTCCCCTCCCTCTCATGTTTCCCACCATCCTTTTCTTCATCCCTAATTTTTTTTTAATTTTTTTTTTTTTTAATTTAAATCAAACCGTTAGCGTTAGGCATTTTTTTTTGTTCATGTGCGTATAAAACACACACACATACACACACATATTGATTAATCGATTAATTAACAATCCTTCGTCGCCCACTTGGAATTAACCTCTCATCGTTTCCAATGTATATTACTTAATACATTTATGCATGTATTTATTGTGATATATTTATTATATATAAATATATATATTCATATAAGTGTAATACATAATTTCGTTTGGTAGTATTACGTTTGGAAATCGCCTTAAATGTATGTTTGTGGACCCCCTCTTTTTATTTATTAAAGAATCAAGCACGTATGTCAATATTTATACGCTACGCATAAATATTGATCTGTCTATGAGGTACAACCGAAATACCGTGGATACTTCGATGGTGTAAAATACGCATAAAATCGACGGATTTATGTAGAACATGATGATAGGTTATTGGTGTTAAACAATTACTCATGCAGATAAAAATGACATTGTGTAAAGACGCTAGTCTAGCAATCTGTGGAGCTAAGTTTTATATATTTAGGAAGAAAAAAATTTAAGGACGTATACATTTAATATTTTCTACTTTACGGAATTATCAAAATCATTTCCCCTCCCCCATAACATATCTTTTTTTTAGACATGTATCACAGAAAAGTTCCTTATGTATAATATATGTTATAATATTCATAAATATTTTATAAAGACTATACGTACAACATTTTAATGTTAAAATTTCAAAATGTCATGTATGTATATTTATAACACACATAATATAAAAATACATACATGTATATACAAAAGTTAAAATAATCTTCCGTGTAATTATTAACGTGTTATAGTGCGTTGCATTTAAAAAAATGCTTTTTTTTATGATCTTCCGTGTGCGTAATATAATTATTATGGTCTATAACTTATAGTGTATTAAACTATCATTATTTTTATTTTCATTATTATTAGGTATTATTATTATTTTTACGTATTTGAGCGTGTATGTCCGGTAACTTGCCCCTCCAAAAAATATCCTCGGCCTTATGTTACGAAAAGTTTTAAGTTAGTAACTGAGTTATATCATTATTATCATTTTAAACATTCTATTTGATTTTAATTATAATTTTTAGTTGTATATTTTATATTCAATGTTTCCATACTACAATTATCACAGTTGACCATTGAGTAACATCATTTAATCACATTAGCATTCGGTTATGTTATTTTAGTTCTACCGGTATTATATTATTGAAAAAATAGTTTATTTTTTTTAAATACCGTTACCGCTGACTACATAAGAGAGTTCTCATAATGTTAGAAACGCACATATACAATTATGTTTGATACATTAAATACGCCAAGTTATATTCTTTGACCTACAAAAAATGTATTGTTTTATTTTAATTTTAGTATTTACCATACTGATGTGAATTTTAAGAAATAGTTTAAAGTGAATTAAGTTTAAGTAATTTGCAGTGTTTCTCTTAAAATGAAGAAAAACATGTTAAGATTTTTTTATGATAATACTTAGTTATTACCTAATTTGTTTAAGGTTAATTTACACTCGGTTGGGCTAAAATGGCAATGTACTACAGTGTTTTGTCGTGAAACATCACTAACATAATTTTAATTATTACGATTTTTTTTTTTTTTTTGTTTTACGCCTATTTGAATGTGTGATTGTGATTAAATAAAAATAAATGTTTTTCAACAATTGTTCATTTTTTTTATTCAAATTGATTTTAGAAGATGTGGTGTCAACATGAAGTTAATTGTAAATTATTTATAGGCACCTACATATAAAATGTATTGGTAAAAAAATATACTCATTAGTCATTATACTTATTTAATATTTAACTTATGTTTTCTTATAATATAATAAACATATTATGCTATTTTTGTATTAACTGATATTATATTCTACGTTTTCTATCGTACATAATTGATTATTTACAGTGATTCCATTTATAATAATCATACCAACTTGTAAAAAACCAATTGACTCTTCGTTGAATATTCGTTATTAACTATTGACCTCATTTAAGTTTATACAATTGTATTCATAATATTATATTTACGAATGTAGGTATCTCCTTTATTTTTATCCACAATAGTAAATATATTTTAAACAATTTTAAAATATAAAATAAATAAAATATGTCGTAACTGTTTTTACAGAGGCGTATATGTGGTCCAAATCGGGACATAATTTAATTGATTAATTAAGAGATTTATTTATTTATGTCAAAAATACACAAAAAAACGAACAACATATAAATGTTAGATGTTTTAGTAATTTTTGTTTAAAATTGAAAACCTAAAATATAGGTTCATTTTTTTACTAATATGTCGGTATAATTAGTTCTTTATAAAATAAATCATTGTAAGTTATATTGGTTTCAAATAAATTTATAATTTAGTGATGTCATTTTAGTTTTTTCCAAAGTAGAACAGTCAGCATGCTCTTATTAAATTGTGAACTCGGTCCTTCATTTAACCAAAGTACCGATTAACGTGAGAGGTTAACGTCAAACTAGTACCTACAAAAATATAATGATTTTTACTAAGTACATATGTACCGTTTAGTACATATCTCATTTTTCTGTTTTACAACATGTCTATGGATTTTTAAAAGATGAATTTATATTTTGATGATGCATCGACTTTGGAATAGCTTAACTCCTCTATGCTGTGACAAATGCATGAGTTGCCCCCTCCCCAAATTACGCAACTGATTTAATGTAATAATACCATTGGGATAGTTTTTGAAACCAAGCGTGAAAAATGATTAGGATCTAAGATTTAAACGCAATTGACGTAGCCGACGAAAATTTATATTTAGATATAAATGTTACTATTTGTATTTTATGATCGTGCAGAGATTAAGATGTATGTACTGGTCCATAACGATTGTATCCGTCCATCTTTATTGTTGACTATTAAGATAACGAACTATACAAGTATATACGAGTACTTTGTACTCGTACGGTAGTCGTCGCTGATAAAACTCACTTTGGGAACAATATAAAGTGAGTCTTATAATCGAATGAATCTTATATATGAAGTAGAAAAAAATACAAACAAAAATCTGAAAATAATTACTAACTTTATTTTACTTTCACTACATATTATATAATACATAATACATGTTTTAAAATAAATATATTATTATTTATAACAATTTATATTATTTATTAAAAACATTTGTGCTTTTAATTTGTTTTTTATTATTTTTAACTATTTTAAAAATATACTGCTCTCATGTATATTGTATAATAAACTAAATAATTCGATGATGAACTCTCCTCTACAGTTCTAGAGCCTATAGACTAGAGGTTGTGTACCAGCAGCTCCTTAACATGCAATTTGTGGCTCTTTTAAAAATGAATCAATATTGAGATCCGTAAAATATAAATTATATTGTATATTATTTCAGTGATTATATTTCTGAATTTCTTATTAACGATATTTATTTGAAGTAAAAATAAAATTATATTTCATGTATAATGACTCCGCAATATTTATTAACCTTGTCACGCAATTAGTTTTATGGCATATTTAATATATATATATATGTAACTTATCTAGTAAACTCGATTATCATAATTTTGTATGATACGAATAGTGTTGGGACTATCCAAGGTTTATAGATAATAAGATATTATAGATATTATCTATAAACCTTGGGGACTATCTAGATAAAATTATCCAGAGTATCTTTATCTTAAACTTATTTTTTTTGTGTTTTTTCTGTCTATAGATAATAGATGTTAAATCAAGCAAAGTGGTTTTTTTTTTTTATTAAAATAAAATTTTATTATTTTATTTAGCCGTTTTTCATAATTTTTCATACAATAATAATTGAAATATGTGAACTGTGACATTTTTATGTATTTTAAAATTTAAATTATTACATTAAAAAATATTTTAATACAAATTCTAGTACAACCAAATGTTATATACTTATATACTAGTATATTATCTACATACAACTTAATGTTAACTTATATAATCAAATTAAATTTAGTTAAAAAATTATGTATAATGTAATGCTACTTAGTAATCACTACTTATACAGATATTAAAATATAGGTAGGTATAATAAATAATAATTTAAATTAATCTACATCTGTTAATCATTTATTAACCTATTTACTTTTAAGAATAATAAGAATATTTTATCAAACCTTAAATATTATTTTAAATAATTCTCTTTTATCTTTTATCTTTTTATTTCTTCTAAATAACTGAAAGATTATCTTTAATCTACATAAAAATATTGATTATCTTTCCCAACACTGGATAAGAAATTATATTATTCGATACGTGAGCACGGTCTTCTTATGATTAGTTCAATCAGCGCGGCTTAGTTCGGGTAATTTTTGCTTGTGCTTTTTTCCAACAGAAGTTTTTTTATAAACTTTTCACCGTATTAAAATATAACAATATTGTGGGATATCTATAAACAAAAAGTGTAAAATTGAAAAGGAAAATAGAGGATTTAGAAATGAGTGGACTGATACATTTGCATTTTCCAAAATACCATGGGACAATCAAAATGTCAAAATTATAAGCGGCGTCTAACTGTATAACGTACATTTTATCATTACGTAACCATCAATAACATTCCATGAGAATTTATAAGACATATGACATTTACAATTCAATTAGTTGCTAGCCAAACGTCATATGTTCACCATAGTAACGGACATTTGCTTCATGTATGAAGCAAATTGAAAATGAAAGTAAATTGCAAATGACATTTGCTTCATATATGAAACAAATTTCAAGTGAGAACAAAATGCTGTTAAGCGTTGTTAGTTACAATCTGTTAAAAATGTGATTTGTAGAGATGAAGATGTACTAAAATTTCATGTAAGTCTTTTATAAAAATTAATAATCTAAATAAAATAATTAAACACACACATATATATATATATATATATATATAACTATGACTTATTAGTCATAATCATGAAAAAATCTGAAACGACTGTTCTAAACAGAATCAGTAATATTTTAAAAAGGAAAGCTATAGATGATGTATGCTTGATCATGCAGTTTTATTCATAATAAGCTGTATAAGGAAGTAGTAGATACATTTAATTCTTATAATGTTTCTCGTATCAAGCAAGTAAATAATAAAAAAATTTTTTTTTTTTAGGAAATGGAGGTCAATTAACTTTCTTTAAAATTATTGTGGCTTAAATAATGTGCAATAAAATGATATATACCGTATATCCTTAATTCGTGTTTACTACAATACAATATTTGGGAGGGAACGATTCGATAAATTACGTATATGATATTTGTTAGTATTTTTTTCATTTTAGACAACTATTAAAAAAAAAAAAAAAAAAAAAAATGAGCTATAAAATAACAATAAATACTAAAAGTAACAATACATTGCATTAAATGAATAAGTAGTAAAGCGGGTATTATTTTGGGTAATGTACAACATTGTTTAAATAATACAATAAAGCCTGGACAATAATATTTGTTAGTGATCATGAAAATAATCTTAATCTATGAATATAGAATTATTGGTTAAATCAGAAATTTAGTTTTTTGATAGCACATTTAAGAGTGCTCCAAATTTTTTTTATCAAATTTTTACAATACATACTATTAAAAATAAAA